TGCAAGCTGCTGTTACAACTATATACGTTTGTAATTTCTGTCCACAGATCTCTCAAGCTAAAGAGCTGCCAGAGGTCTGGAATACAGCCAATGCAGTTCCAATTTTTTAAGAAGGGTGATAGAGATAAACCAAGGATTTATGGACTAGTGAGTCTCACATCAGTAGTTGGGCCACTAGTGGAGAAAATTCTGAGGAAAGGAATTAATCTCCATGTGGAGAGGCAAGGTTTGATCAGGGATAGTCAGTATGGCTTTGTCAGTGGGAGGTCATGCCTATCAATTTTGATTGAATTTTTTTATGGAGGTGATCAGGGGTTCAGATGAAGGCAGTGCAGTTGATGTAGTTTGTATGGATTTTAGCTAAGCCTTTGACAAGCTCGCACATGACAGGCTGATAAAGAATGTAAAAGTACATGGAATCCAGGGTAACTTGGCAAGATGGATCAAAAATTGGTTTAGTAGTGGGAGATGGAGCGTGGTGATAGAAGACCATTGTTTGTGACTGGAGACCAGCGTCCAGTGGCATACCACAAGGATCAGTGCTGGGTCCCTTATTATTCATTTTATATATATAAACAATATAGATGAGAATGTGTGGAGATAAGTAAGTAAGTTTGCGATAGCACAAAAATTGGCCAGGTGGTTAATAGGGAGGAAGAAGGTCTTAGGTTATAGAAAGATATAGATGGGTTGGTCGTATAGACAGATCAGTGGTAGATGGAATTTAACCCTGAAAAGTGTGAGGTGATACACTTTGGATGAAGTAGCAAGACAAGCAAGAAGCTCAATGAATAGTAGGACATTAGAAAGTTCAGAGGGACCTTGGTGAGGTCATCCACAGATCCCTGAAGGCAGCAGGACAGATTAATACAGTGGCTAAGAAGGTATTCGGGACACTTAGCCTTCATCTGTCGTGGCATAGATAATAAAAGCGGGGCAGCACTGTGGCTCAGTGGTTAGCACGCTGCCTCACAGCACCAGGGAGCCGGGCTCGATTCCAGCCTTGTGTTGAGTTTGTACATTCTCCCAGTGTCTGCATGGGTTTCCTCTGGGTGCTTTGGTTTCCTCCCACAGTCCAAAGATGTGCAGGCTACGTGGATTGGCCATCTGTTCAGGGATGTGTAGATTAGGTGGGTTATAGGGGGATGGGTCTGGGTGGGATGCTGTGAGGGTTGGTGTTGGGCTGAAGGGCCTGTTTCCACACTGTAGGGATTCAATGATTCTATAAAAAGCAGGGAGGTTAAGTTGGAGCTGTACAAAACTTCATTAGGCCACAGGTGGAGTACTGTGTGCAGTTCTGGTTGCTGCACTATAGGAAGGATGTAATTACACTGCAGATGGTGCAGAGGAAATTCACCGGGAGATTGCCTGGGATGGAGCAGTTTAGCTACGAATAGAGGCTGGATTAACTCAGATTGTTTAATTTGTAGAAGAGAAGGCTGAAAGGGGACCTGATCGAGATGTATAAGGTTAGGAGGGGCATGGACACAATGGACAGAAAGCAGCTGTTCTCCTTTGTTGAAGGGTCAATAATGAGGGGGGCATAATTTTAAGGTGAAGGGCAGGAGATTTAGAGGGGATTTAAGAAAAACCTTACACCCACAGGGTAGTGGGAACGCACTGCTAGGGAGGGTAGTAGAGGCAGGAAACCTCAAAACATTTAAAATGTATGTGGATGAGCACTTGAAATATCATAACATTCAGGGCTATGGGCTAAATACTAGAGAGTGGAACTATTGTAGATAGGTTGGTGCTGACTTGATGGACCAAAGGGCCTCTCATGTGTTGAATGACTCTATGACTATGATGCTGTATGGGTAAACGGACACCTCAAGTGACCACCAGAGCTATGCCAACTTAATTAGATTAGCTGTCAAACATGTTACAAATGGTATGGATATTTGACAAATATCAAATTCTGAATGAACATGTCTGATGAAGAGGTTAAATTCAGATCTGAAAACAAAACGTTGCATGGTTAGCTCCACAAGAGCCTTAATGCTAAGAATTTCTCCGGGCTTTCCTCCCACTGATCCGCTGCAACTTTGGCAGAGTCCCGTTTATCCCAGAAACTGAACATCTGCCAAAGTTAGGGAGAAGCCTAATACATTTTTCAGGCTAGATTGAAACAAAAAGACTCAGACAAAGGGATAAAAACCCTAGCTGGTTAAATCTATATGTTAAAATGTGAGATGAATTTGTAAGTGGAATGAATGGGGTCCTGAGGGTTCTATATTAATACACCAGACCTGTGCATAACTGTCACCTCCAGATTCAGGAATTCCCACTTCATTCAAACAGCAATTTCCTTTCTGGGATTGTCCAGTTTGTTCTGGGTCTACCTTCCAACCCCTGCGTATCTCTCACTTCTTTCAATCTCCCTCCCCCGGAAGGGTGTATCTTCCCTCCTGTGTATCTCTGCCAGCCACGGGGTACATCTTCCCTCCTGTATATCTGTCCCCCTGCAGTGTGTATCTTCCCTCCTGTGTATCTCTCCTTCCTTCATACATACCAAAAACCTGCATGTATGCAGGAGGTTAGAGAATAATTGGGAACATTTGATCCAAATAGTCCATGTTAAGCCCTCTCAGCATACTGCCAAACCTGAACAATGAAGTTTAATTATAAGATAATATTCTGAGTAGAATGTTCTGTTTTCCTCCCTCTAATTGCTTGCACATCCAATTACCAGGGAAGAAGATGGGGACAGTCTTGGGCGAATACAATGGTCCAAATGTCCCATTAAATGAAGCAGCAGCTGCTTCTCGGCATTCTTGATCTGAGATCAGACAAGCGCCTTTTCCCACAGGGCCCCGATTGAAAATAATTTGGTGCCTTCATTTGGGAAACTATCGCCAGAGCTTTGCACCAGTCCCTAAACTGATACACAGAGATTGACTGGAGACCTTAACAGCTCTCCGTAACTGGGGCAAGGCAATTAAAAAGGAACCGGATGCGTTCCCCTGGGTTAGCCTGCGGCAGTTGTAGGACAGTGAACCCCTAACGCCGCTTCGGCCCATCGCTCCCAGCCTGGCGTTCCGCATTTCTGAGCATCCCTCGTATATTTAGTACAGGTTAGGGTTTGCAAAATCTCGACACATTTAATAACGGCTGCACGGCTTTCCCGTTCAAACCTTAAGGCGTAGAACTAATGTGGATGAATTGAGGGTGAAACACAATGCGAGAGAAACCGTCTCTCGGTTTCACTGCGCCTTTATAATCTGCCCATTTTCTCTACTTCTCCCTCTGTCCCTTTCCCGATCTGTCTTTCCTTCCCTTCGTCCCCATCTCACTCTCTCCGTCAGTGAGGGGCAGCTAAGCCTGACAGTAAGAGTGCCAGAAAAAGGTGAGTCCAGGGTGGACGAGAGATGGGAGAACTGTAGCAGAGAGAGAGAGACACATGGAGAGAGAAAAATACAAACAGTGACAAAAAAAGGGGGACCAAGACTGGACAGATAGGAGAAGAAAAACGGCGAGAAAGGGGAAAAAAAGGAACATTCAAAGCACTAAGCAGTGAGAGAAAATAAGTTTGTGCGGAAACGTGCTCGACCCTTGTCCACCCTCGATCTCTCTCTCCCGTGTTATCCTTCCCCCTCCCCTTTATCCCACCTGCTATTCTACCGTAATAGAGATAACAGGGTGTAGAGCTGGATGAACACAGCAGGCCAAGCAGCATCAGAGGAGCAGGAAGGCTGACGTTTCGCCTAGACCCTTCTTCAGAAAAGGGTCTGAAGAAGGG